CCGGCGGCTCCCGAAGCTTGCGGCGCGCTGCGGTCGGGCGCTGGGCTTTCGATCCTCCTCTTCAACCTCCTTCTCCTCCTCTCCCTCGCCGCCCGGCCCGGAGGCTTCCAGGCGCGCCCAGCTTCCTCCGGAGCCCGGCTCCGCGCGCCTCCCGCGGCCCCGCTCTGCGGACAGCGGCGGCTCCTCCTGGCCTCGGCGGGCCGAGTTATTTTTAGGGAGGTACGAGTGGCGGCGGGAGGGGGAGGCCGCGGGCGGGCGGAGCCTCGGCCCTGCGCGGAGGGTCGTCCCCTCCCCTTGAGGCTCGCGCCGACGCCCGGGGGTCTCCGGGAAGCACTCGGATCTCCCGCGCCCCGACTCCGTGGACACTCAACGCTGCGGCCGCCGATGAGGAGGACGGGCCGGACGGGTCTGGCTCAGATCCCGACGCGGTGGAGCCCACTGGCTTCGGCCGCCGCCGCCGCCGCGCCGCCGCCTGCTCGCGACGGTACCTAGAGAGGTTCGTCCTGACTTGGGCAGCCGCCGCCGCCGCCGCCGCCGCCCCCCATCCGCGCGCCCCGAGCGCCGCCGCAGCCTCGGGAACACCTGGGCCGCCTCGCAACCTCCGGCCCAGGGGCTCCCAGCAACTTTGTTCGTCTCTGCTCGAGGCGGGAGAAGTGGGGCTGCTGCGAGCAGCCCAGTCCGAACACCCGGCGTCAGGCGGGCGGGCGGGTGTCGGAGGGCCGAGCGCGGCGCCCAGCCCCGAAGGAGTGTTTGGGGAGCAGCGATTCCCCTCCTCTTCCCCCGCCTCTTCCTCCTCCAGCGCCTTCTCCGGCCGCCGAACCGCTCCTCAGGGAGGAAGCGGCCTCCCGGGCTTGTTGCTTTGTGCTGCAACCATGGTGAGCAATGAGTGACAGGCCAGGGACCAATTGGCGGAAGCCGCATCATCGGAGGCGGGGAATTCCGTCGCGCCGGCGCCGCCCACTTCTCTCAACCCCCTCCTCACCCCCCCCCACTCACTCCGAGCTCACCGCCCGCCTGCCGGCCGCGCCCTCCCTGCAGAGCTGAACCTTTGGCCACGGCCAGGTGATGCCTGCGCTCGGGCCACGGAGAGGCAGCCCTGGCCTGAGCTGAGCCGACGACTCTTGGCACTACCTGGTCCTGGTCGTGCTCAGATGTGAGCACTATCTGTCTGTCCCAACCCCCCTATCTCCCGATGTGGCCTCTCCCCACACTCGGCTCCGGGTCCTGGGAAGCCTCAGCAGCGCGGGGTCGCGGCTCCCAGATTGGCCTGGCGCCGCGCCGCCGCCCGAGGGCTGAGGGCTGCCCAGAGCTGAAGCCGGGCCTGCAAGCTTGGGCCCCACTGGGCATTCTTTCTGAACCCAGGGGTTTGGCTCGGAATAGTTACGGTGGTGATAAAACCAAAATTCAGGTTTTGCTTATTTGTAATTTACTGCAAGGAAAGCGTCCCTCCTCTGCCTTTCCTGCTCACTCATACACCTTCAGACAGTTAACCACAAAATTAAGCAGATGGGAAATCGCCAATTTCAATTCTATACCCATAACATCCCCAGACACACAAACCTATTAGATTTAAGGCCATCAGTCGTTAGTGAGAGCCCAGGATGGCAAATCCTGTGACATCAGAAGCATGTATCAGTAGTTCTGGCTTTGCCTTTGGGTAGCGCAAAGTGCCTTTTCCACTGCATGCAGAGACCATAGCAAAGCCATCTAAGATGTGGACGCCTGTGCCATCTCACCCTCGTTCCCACAGCCAGGCTAGGCATTGTGTAACTTCCACTCACTTACTGTTAAACTTTGGGACACACTTAGTTTGTGTGTTGTGGTCACTGATGGACAGTAAAAGGATTATTGTTATACTTACTTGTGAGCTACTACGTTGAAAAGTTTAGGTTTTTTTAAACAGGCTTTTTCAGCACCTACTTTACTTTTAAACTTGGAATAGGTGATCAGGTAACATTTTAGGGTAGGTAAATAACCTGTGTGGGCCTGGCATGACTTCTCAGAGAAGAGATTGTACCTGTCCAACCTTGGAAAACTGAGTAAGCAATGAATGGTTACCATTAAATTTCTTGAAGTCAAGGGCCTTGATTTCTCGATTTTCTTGCTCTAGGCTGGTGCTCTACCACTTGTGACACACTCCACCCACTTTTTGCTAATTATTTGGAGATAGAGTCTTGGATTTTTCTGTCTGAGTTGCCTTAGAACTACAATCCTCTACATCTCAGCTTCCTCCTAAATAGCCACAATTACAGACATGAGACACCAGCCCTACAAAAAGGGAGAATGCAAACCTAATGAAGTGAAAAAATACACCCTGACATCTCCACCTATTGTCTTACAGATATCTCAGAATTAACATGTTAGAGCAGGTTTTGATATCTTCTTTCCCTGCCTTCACTCTCCCATTAATACAATCTCATTATTATCATTATCCAAATTTAATTTTTTTTTGTCGGTCTTGGGGCTTGAACTCTGGGCCTGGCCGCTGTCCCTCAGCTCTTCAGCTCAAGGCTAACACTCTACCACTTGAGCCACAGTGCCACTTCTGGCTTTTTCTGCTTATGTGGTGCTAAGAAATCGAACCCAGGTTCTCATGCATGTGAGGCAAGCACTGTACCACTGAGCTACCTTCCCCGCCCTAATTTTTTTTTTAATAGTTGGAGTTTTCCTTGTGTTCTTTCCCATAGGCCCAACAAGGGTCAGTAAAACCTGCCTGGTTAGCCTAAGGGTATGACTCACTAGTAGAGTGCTTGCCTGGAATTCACAAAGGTTTGGGTTTGATACCCAACACCAGAAAAACAAAAAAAATAAATAAATAAATATCATAAAGGGGAGAAGAGAACAGGGAAGAGGAGGAAAGGAGAGAAAAAAGAAGAGACAAAGAAAAGAAACTACCAGCTCAACCTTCAAACTACCTATATGGATTCCAATGTCTAGCTACCACCTGTACTTCCACATCTTTGGTTCATCATTATCTTTTCACTCTCCAGTAGCTACCTCCTGGTCTTCCTTTTTCTTCCCTTACTTCTAACACTTCATTTTTAACCCAGCATCCAAGGTGACCTTCTTCACCCTCACTCACACTTCTCCTCTCCTTAGCTACCCACTCTTTGCAAGGCTTCCTGATCATGGCCTGAATGCCTTTTGCACATGGTCCTGTTCCTGTTCTGTCCTTTGCACCTTATAAACATACTACCTCTGCCCTATTCTCAGTCATTTTTCTGGGCGCATCAGCCTCATTGATGTTTCTGGAATGGTTAACAGAGTTTAGTCTCACTGCCTTTCCACCTGCTGTTCCTTCTACTTCCAGTTTCTCCCTCTGCCTTTCTCCATTCACCTACATCCACCAAAAGAAAAACAAAAACTCACACAACAGTGGTCAAAGTACACAATGTTTCTCACCTTTATTCAAATGTCATTGTTGTTGTAACTATGCACCTTAATTCTCTTCAATATCTACCATACTATGTATTTACTTGTGTGTCGTCTGTCTGTGTCTGTCTGTCTGTCCTAGGGCTTGAACTCAGTGCCTGGGCACTATCCCTCAGTACTATTCAAGGCTAGCACTCTACCACTTAAGCCACAGCTATACTTCTGGCTTTTTGGTTAATTGGAGATAAGAGTCTCATGTACTTTCTTATCTGGGCTTTTTCTTACTTGGCTTTTTCACTGAAGCCTGCCCCTCTACCAATTGAGAAACACCTTCATTTCCAGCTTCTTGCTGGTTAATGGGAGGGGAGAGTCTCATGGACTTTTCTGCCTGGGCTGGCTTCAAACTGCAGTTCTCAGATTTTACCCTCCAAAATAGCCACGGGCACTTGGCAAAGCCCATGATTTTTGTTTGTTTCACTGCTGTATTCTCAATAAATAAATATTGTGTTACTCTGTATTTCTGGGAGATTGTTACATACTTATCTTACTTGTGTGATGGGGAAGAATAGGCTGGAATAGGAAACAATCTCTTTGAATCTGTTTTCAGTTCCATGAGGAGAATAAATATTCATACCCTGAAGATCTGTGAACATCAAATATATTGCATGCAAAATGTATTGTATAGATAGTGCTTGAACCATAGTATGTACTCAACAGACAGTGGTTATTTTTAAGATCATTCTCACCATCCCCAACTTTGAGGTTAGTGGGACAGTTATTATCATTTTTGTTTACAAGTGGGGAAACCAACAATAAAATTACTCATGTGACTTGTCCTAGTTCCAGTCTTTGGAAAGATCAGGAAAGAGCTAGCCAATGGACACTCATATACTATACCCTATGATCAATACTAAAAGCCATAATTTATCTGGGCGAGTACTGCTACAGGTAGTATACACTTCAGGTCAGCAAATTGCACCCATCTTTTTCCTGTCTCATCCCACCAAAAGACTCTTGCATATGAGGACAACTGACCTGCACATCTAAACTACATAAACTATACCCCTTATTAGGCTATTCCTCTGCCAAGAGGAAGGCTCAGTTTAGTGAGGCTTAAAAGTGGTAGGGCAGCAACGTCCAGAGTTCTGGTGCTAGATCTGGAACTTCTTGCCTCATGGAAAAGGATGAACCTGTAGGAGGGCTTCCAAGGCATGGAAACTGGACATGGAATCAATCACAGGTGGAAAATTGTGAATTTTAGCACAAATCCCACTCTTCTTTTCCCTCTGAGTACCCTTAGTAAGATACTGAATTACACCAGTAACCTTGGGTGAGGCCTAATAGTATGTCTGACCCACCAACAAAATGACTAACTTCTAAGTTATCATTTAACTTCAATTAAAGCTAATTTTCTCACTATTTA